TCACACTTACTAAGGAGGTGCTCTACTATTTGAGCCACCACACCAGCCCAAAGAAATACTTGTGAAGGCCACAACCTAAAAACAGAGCCCACTGAAAGAATGAGGGTTTTTTTTTTTTTTTTTAATTCTTCTTCTTTTGGCAGTATTAGGGTCTGAACTCAGGGCCTCACACTTGCTAGGTAGGCGCTCTACCACTTGAGCCACTCCACCAATCCTAATTTTTTTAAAACATGAAAATAAGTGTTGGCCAGGACAAGGAGAAATCAGGAGTTTCATACACTGCTGACAGGAATGTAAAATGGTGTAGCCACTTTGGAAAGTCTGGCAGTTTCTCAAATAACCAAACATAGATTTACCATTTGGTCCAGTATTTCCACTCCTGGGTATAGATCCAACAGAAATGAAAACATCTGTCCACACAGAATATTGTATATGATTGTTTAAAGTAGCATTATTCATTACAACTACAGGGTAGGAAGAACTCAGTACTATCAATAGACAAATGCATAAACACAACGTAGCACATCCATACAACTGAATGTCATTCAGCCATTTAAAAAAGGAAGTACTGATATGTGCTAACTGGGGTGAACCTTAAAACCCTCAGGCTGTGGTAGAGCTGCCTAACAAACAAGGCTCTGAGTTCAAACCCCTGAACTGCCCTCACACTAAGTGAAAGAAGCTAGTCACAAAAGACCGTATATTTTATGATTTCATTCATATGAAACGTCCAGAATGGGCAGATCCACAGACAAAAAGGTAGACTTGAGGTTATCAGGGGCTAGGGAAATACAGGAATAAGGACTGATTTGTTTTTTAGGCTTGGGGTTTCTTTATGCAGTGATGAAAATGTTCTGGAATTAGAGGGTGGTGATGGTTGTACAACTTTGTGAATATACCAGAAAACTCTGACCTGTACTCTTTACTTTAAAAAAAATTCTTTTTTTCCTTTTGTTTTGACCTTGTACTCTTTAAGAGTGAATTTTAGGGTTAGTTATAACTCAGTTAAAATAAATTGCTAATATTTGGATCTCACTAAGCACTATGCTAAGCACTTTGTGCTCATGTCTCCTATCAGTCCTCAACAACAGTCTTAAGAAGTCAATAACTGCAGTGATTCCATTGTCTGCTAAAGAAACTAAGGCTCAGAGAAATTAAAAGGAAATCTTCTCCAGGACTGCACAAGGAGCAAGGGAACAGAGATTAGAGTTTAGGCAGACCAAGCCCAAAGCCAAATGCCTAAGTCTTACATTCCTCTGCCCACTAATAATGTAAGAAAAAGAGCAAAATGTCTAGCACAATGACAGACACACAGCAAGGGCTCAGTAAATCTTCGATATTGTTGATACAATGATCCACTTTGCCTACCAGAATGAAACTTGAGGAAGAGAACTGGTGGAAGGGACCAGGACCAAGAAAACCTATTTAAAGGTTTAAGGGAATAGTTAAAATAAGAACTGGTGAGAAGCCTGGCACCAGTAGCTCATGCTTGTAATCCTAGCTACTTGGGAGGCTGAGATTGTAACGATCGACATTTGAGGCTAGCCTGAGCAAATAGTTGAAGAAACCCCATATCCAAAATAACCAGAGCAAAATGAACTGTAAGTGTGGCTTAAGCAGTAGAGCACATGCTTTGCAAGCCTGAAGTCCTAGGTTCAAACACTCTAGACCCACCAAAAAAAAAAAAAAAAAAGAACTGGTGAGAGGCTGGGCATGTTGGGATGTAGATCAATGGTAAAACACTTTCCCAGAGGGCACAAAGCCCTGGGTGCAATCTTCCCCAACTCAGAAAAAAGAAAAAAAAAAGATGAGGAATTTAATAAGGTAATGGCAGTAAAAAACCAAAGATGAGGATTTTTCAAGAAAATAGGAATTGTCCTATTCCCTGGGGTCAGTTACAACTTGATATAGCTACAGAATTTTAACAAAACTTATAAGAATTAATAATACTCTTGGTGCATCAAGAAAGGTTTATTTTCCAAATACATGATTAAGTCATGGAAATGAATAATACATTTCAGATTTTCTAGGCAGGCGTTCCACCACTTGAGCCATGCCTCCAGTCACACTAAAGATTTTCTTTCAGTAGATCGACCTTTTAAATTTCAACACCAAGTTAGACTAATTATGTGAGACATCCAAAAGTCAAGTGGAAATATTTTAAATATCTCTAAGAGTTAAATAGCTGTAAGAACATTACAGAATTCAAGATTCCCATTAAGTTCAATGATCTTTACAAAGGTGTTAGAAAATACAATTACATATTTTAAGAACCATTAAGTTTGAAGGTCTTTAGAATCAAAGGAAAAGACACATTTCTATGAGTAGACTGAAGGTAACAACCATAACTTGAATTAAGGTTGTGGTCTAGAAGATCATCTCTTTTAAGATATGTAACATTAATCTAGAACTTAGTGTGTCCCATCAGGGTCACCAAGATGAATCTTGCGAGCCACCTTAGCAGAAAATACGTGGATCCTAAACATCAGCAAACAGGTGGTAATTGTATTCTTTGATGGATAAACATCTTTGAACACTGAGAATATTTAGAATTAAGTACAGAAACATTTGAGCTACAGTTTGAATGTGTGTCCCCTCTAAAGTCCTGTTGGAACTTGATCCTCATTTCAACAGTATTAAGAGGTGGAGCTTCTGGAGGTTATTAGGCCATAGGGCTCTCCTCTCATGGATGGGATTAGCAACCTTCTAAAAGAACTTGAGGGGGCTTGAGTTCAAACCCCAGTACTGCCATCTCTTTTCATCTCTTCCACTCCTGCTAGTGAGAACACAACGGTCATCTGTCATCTCCTCTAGAAAATGTAGCAACAAGGAAACAGTGTGCAGCCTTCACCTGACACTGCACTGCCAACACCTTGATCTTAGGCTTCTGAGCATTCACAACTGTGAAAAATAAGTATCTGCTCTTTAAAAAATACCAACTTTCACCCATCAAGTGTGAAGCCCTGAGTTCAATCCCCAGTACCACCAAAAAAATTAATTAAAAAATAAAATAAATACCAACTCTTGAATATTTTGTAATTGTAGCACAAATGGACTAAAATGACTAAGACAGTAAGGAAAGATAAAAACATTTAAGAGCATCAAAATCATAGTTAGAAAGCCTCATTGAAAAGATGGCATTTAAGGGGCTGGTGAAGTGGCTCCAGTGATAGAGCGCCTGCCTAGCAAGCGTGAGACCTGAGTTCAAACCCACCAAAAAAAAAAAAAAATTTTTTTTTTACAGAGAAGATGGCATTTGAGTAAGTCCAAAGGAGGTAAAAGAGTCATAGGTGTGTCTAAAGGGAAATCGAACAGCAACAGCTAAGGCCCTGAGATGGAGCCTGCAAGTGGGTGTTGGAGGAACATCAAGGAAGGATGGGTAGAGCAATGGGAGATGGATTCAGAAAAAGTAGGCAGATTATGAAGGGGTAGGTCATGGTGAAACCAGTTTCAGTAGTGCATTTGGCTTTTGGTCTGATGAGACAGAAGCCATTTGAAGTTGGGAGCCACTGCTCAATTTCAAGCAGAAGTAACAAGCAAATTTTCGGGGGGGAGTGGCGGGGGGTGGATCAAAAAACTTAAATCAAACCCTTTATATATTAACATATAATTATGTCAGTGAAAGAGTTAAGCCTGTTAGGCAGAAATTCTGCTTTATCTAAAAATAAGATTTAAATGATAAAAATTAGTGAAGATTTTTGGATCTTTGAGGCCTATGAGGTTATCACCACTCAGCTCCAGGCTGCGGGTGAAACTCTGGGCTTAGCATGTGCTTCCTTTGCCAAGTGGAATAACCTATAATAGCCTGACCAGGTAAAGGTTTTATGTGGAATATTAAATGGAAGCGCTCCATTTACTAAAGTTCTGTAAATATAAAGATTTATTAAGAACATGGGTGAGGCATGCTAATTTTTAAAAAATGAATGTCATTTAAAACTTCAATTAAATTTTAAAACAGAACGTAGGTGATACTGATGTGTGTGGTTTAGGAGCCCGCTAGGTGTGAATCCCATTCCAAACACGTCTTGGAAGGACGTGGAATATGGCCACTGGTGGAGTCAAGGCTAAACGCGCGCATCTGAACGGGAAGGGGCCACTTGCCGCCTAGTTCACCGAGGCAGGCAGGGTCTCTCCGGGTGGGCGATGCTAGCGCGGCTCCGGCGCCAACGGCCGGGGCTCGAGACTTGCTGGGCGTAGCAGAGTCTGCCCTCGGTCCTGAGCCCAGAACTGTCGCATCGGGATATAAAAGCTAAGGATGGAGGACGTGCCGAGGAACTCGGGCTACTGCCTCCGAGCCAGCTCCAAGGCGCCGCCCCGCCCGCCCGCCCAAGGAGCCCGGGCCCCGCGTCCGCCCCGCGCGCCCCGCCAGGCGGCCGCCGTCACCGCGCCGCAGCCCGCGCCCGGCCGGCCCCGGCCCTCCCGCGTCTGCCGCGCCCGACGGCTCCAGACACGCCCGGCTCGGTCTCCCGCCGGCTTCCCGTCGCCGCCGCCAGGAGGCTGCGGCGCCTTCCCGCCTTTCCCCGGGCCGGGCCAGGCCGGACCGAGCTGGGCGGCGGGGCTGGCGCGGGCGGCGACGGCGCGGCCATTGTCCCGCACCCCTCCCGGGCGCGCAGGAGGAGCCGCGGGCTGGCAGGCGGGCGGGCGCGGAGGCGAGGCCGGGCGCGGCAGGAGCCGGTGCCCGCCGCCCTTCGCGGGCCGCCGTGGCCGCGGCTCCTCCTGCGCCTTTGTGACCGTCGCCAGCCCTCGGAGCCGCCACCGCCACCGCGCTGCGCCCCGGGCTGCAAATGGCGCCCGCCCGCCTCCGCGCCTCCGCCGCTCTCGGGCCGGGAAGCTGCGGGCGGCGCGCCGCGGGCCTCATCCCCACGCGGCCAGCGCCGCCACCGTCCCGGCCGTCCGAGTCCCGCGCCGCCGCCCGCAGTCAGGCTCGCGGGCCGCTCCGGCAGCCCGACGCCCCGCCCGCTCTCCGCCCGCGCTGCTCCGCGCCGCGCGCAGCCACTTACCGCGGGCCGCGGCGCCCCGGCCGGTCGCGCGCGCCGCCTGAGGAGGATTCCCGGTTCTCGGCAGGGGAGAGACCCCCTTCCGAAGCCGTAGCTTTACGCCCTAAAACAAGTAGCCCCAACGTGAGAGAAACAAAAGGTATTTGCTGACGTGGGCGTTGGACAGAAACGCCCGAGGGCTGGGGACACAATTAAAGGGGCAACGCACAGATTTCAGGCACCAACCAGCAGCTTGGCCCACTCCCCCTGCCCTTGCCCACACCCCGCTGCACCCTCCAGACGCGCCGGGGTGTCCAGATTCACCAGCCGTTGACTGCGGATCATTATTTTAGTCAGGAGCTTAAATTTAAAATTTTACTTTACGTTGGGAAAGGCGCCTCCGGAGGGCAGAAGGGCTGGATTTCTAGGATGTGGGGGGAAATTGGTTTAGGAAAGAGGGAGGGACTTAGGCGTGCCCACAATTACTGTATAAGTACATGTGACATTATCCTACTTAAGTTTAGCAACGTCAAATATGAGCGGTTTCCACAGGGTTCTCCCCCGGGTCAAAGCAGTTATTTTAGTCGGACCATGTTTTAGAAAGCTTTACAGGTCACACGCATTTCATTTTCAGAGAAAAACCCACCAAAGAGGCTGAGATAAGAGGACGTAATTCTTGTTAATATAAAATTAGTATTGTCCATCAAGATTCTCTTCTGACATATTTAATATGAGAATAATGAGAAATTCTCTAATAGAGAGTAAACGTCAGGTTATACATTTGCTAACATAATAAATTACTAAATTTTCGATCTTACTACACATATTCTATAAACTAGTTTTCTAGCTCCTTATGCTGGGATCAGGTAATGAGAAGTATAGTATTACAGTAAAACTGGAGGAAAAAACCCTCAAATTTTCAAAGCATGCCTTTGATTTCTTAATGGATTCCTCTCCTATGTCTTAATCAGTCATGTTGAACAGAGTTTATTACTTTTGTTTCATCAGTAATTAGCTGTGCATTTTGAGGGTTACACTCAGGGTACAGAGTATTACAATGATCTCTTAATGTCACTTCTGTATGGTTCCAGAGGTGCTTTGCTATTTGCTGTTTAGTTGTTACCTCACATTTTGAATTGGTAGGTGGAAACCTGTTTGAAAACGATTGGGTATCAGTATTGTTGAAGGTGCTCAGCTATTCTGCTAGCATCCCCATTGAAGAGTCCCTCAGAAAGACCTGGATATTGCTATAGCAAAAGTGGTTTTTGTTTTAGTATTTTGGTTTTGTGATGGGGTTTTGCTGTGTTCTCCAGGCTGGCCTGGATCTCCTGAGGTCAAGAGATCCTCCTGCTTCAGCCTCCAAGTAGCTGGGACTACAGACATGGACCTCCATGTTTGGTACCAAAAGTTTTATTTTACCCTTAGTGGATTAAAACGTGCAAAAGAATTCTACAATCACATTCCTCAAGAGAACACATCAGGTTGTTGATGAAGTCTTTATTGCCAGGAAGAAGTAATGGGAGATTTTTCCCTCACCTCGATTTTGCCTCCTCTATAACTTCTCACTTCTGGAGCTCCACCTTTTACCAGTACTTACCCTCTGAATCTGTGCTTGGGTTTTTGGTTTTCTTCAGTTCAAATTCTTCAGGGAAGCCACGCGCCCGTTGCTCATGCGTGTAATCCTAGCTACTCAGGAGACAGAGGTCAGAAGGATCAAAGTTCCTCTTTATTGAGACCCTATCTTAAAAAAACCCTTCACAAAACATGGCTGGTGGAATGGCTCAAGGTGTATGGCTCTGAGTTCAAACCCCAGTACCACAAAAAGAAAAAAGAAAGAAAGAAAAAAAATCTTCAGGGATAGCATTCATTCCAATTTTAACAGATATTTATTCAGCACCCTATCATGGGTAAGATATTTAACGTAGGCTCTTGGGTTACAAAAACTCTACCTGGCCCCTGCCTTCATGGGACTTGCAGGGCTAGTGAAGGAGATAGGTGGTAATCAAATAAATGTTTAATTCAAAAATTGGGTAACCTAAAGGAAAGGTACACAGTGCTAGGAGGCAGGGGCTTGTTTAGGGAAGGCTAGCTTGAAGAAGTTATCTTCAACAGAAATCTGAACTGGGACTTAATGGGCAAAAGTATGAGCAGTCAGGAGCCTTATATCAGTCAGGAGCAAAATGTACAAAGGTGCTTGGTTGGAAGGAGCACAGCATAAAAGCCTAATGAGGCTAGGAGCAAAGGGAGGGAGAGTGTGGGGGGATGAGGTGGGAGAGGTAAGCAGGCTAGCATGACTTTGTGGGCTGTGTGAAGAACGCTGGAAGACATTAATGTGTTTTAAGCTGGGTGGAGTTTATGTGACATGATGAGGTTAAGCATTTTAGAGAGATGACTGTGTGCAGGATAAATTGGAGGAAGGGAAGGGTAGCTTATGGTGGTCCAGCTAAAGAGATGAGGGAATCTTGAAAGTAGGGTGGAGACAGAGGAGATAGGGAGAAATGAGGAGATTAAGAATAGTGGAGACATAAATCCTAGAGATAATAGGTTGACAATGGGGAGTGGGGGGGAAGTGAGAGCCAAAGACAACTCCCAGCCTTTGGCTTCTGGAACTGGGTGGATGATGGTTCTGTTCACTAAGAGAGAAAAGCCTGGAAGAGGACCAGATTTTTTTTTTTTTTAAATTTCTTGTGGAGTAGGAGGATGAAAAAGATAGTAAATCCAGCTTGGACATGTTAGGTGTCTTTGTGATGTAGATTGAACATCTTCATTCTTTTGATATGCATGTCATCTGCAACTCATTTATATGTTCGGGGAATTCCTTACCTTATGATTAATTGATTGGAGGTGAGCTCAGCCTTCTGCAATAGAATGTGAAAATGCCAGTGACTTGCTTTCCCAGAATCCCTTGCAGCTAGAACAATGGCCATGATCTATACTTGGACAATCAGCTGCCCACATCTTGAAGAGGGAGCGATGACAACAGGTGCATTCTGGCAGTAATGGAAGTTGTAGCAAAATATTATCTCCAGATGTCACAATGTCAATTTTCTGGTGGCAGCATCCACTGTAGCTCCAGCACTTTCTGGTGAGCTGCCATGTTCCTGTTTGCTGAGAACAGTGCTGGTGTCCTCACCAGGCCACTTCTCTGCTGTATTGTTTCTGGCTGCTTAGCATAGCCGCCATCCCTGTGCTCTGTCCCTTCCTGTAATTCTGTGAAGTATATTCATTTCTGTCTACACTAGCCAAGGTCAATCTCTATGCAACTAGGAACCCACACAAGTACATGGAAAGAAAGCAGCAGGATATAAGGCTTGAAACTCATAGATAAAATTGTTTGAGATAAAAATTTGTCATCAATGTCATGTAGATGGGGAGCTGGCAGAGTGGCTCAGGTGGTAGAGCGCCTGCCTAGCCTGAGGTGATAGAGCGCCTGCCTGAGTTCAAACCCCAGTACTGCCAAAATAAATAAATAAAAATAAGTGAATAGCACTCAGTGTGTGCCAGTTAAAAAAAAGCCAGGCTCGGGTAGCAAAAAACAATGTCATATAAATGGGAACTAAAGTCCGTAACGCCATGCATATGCATAGAAAGAGAATGGAGAATATAAAATGAGAGGAGAGGGCTCAGGACCAAGCTGCTATTTGTTTTTGTTTGAGATAGGATCTTGCTATGTAGCTTAAGCTGGTTTAGAACATTGTCTTCCTGCCTCAGCATTGAGCAACTCCATCATCTAGTGGCTGATTAGAGAAAGTACAATTGCAAATGAGTCTGAAAAGTGACCTGGGGTATGTGGTGTTATAGAAACAAGAAAAGAGAGTCATTCAAGATTATGACTATGACACCAGCACTTTTTTTTTCTTTGGCAGCACTGGAGTGTCACACTTGCTAGGCAGGCACTCTTTTTTTTTTTTTTTTTTTTTTGTGGTACTGGGTCTTGAACTTGGGGCCTTCAGCTTGAGCCACTCCACCAGCCCTATTTTTGTGAAGGATTTTTCTATATAGGGTCTCTCAAACGATTTGCCTGGGTCTGGCTTTGAACCACTACCATCCTGATCTCTGTCTCCTGAGTAGCTAGGATTACTCACACCTGCAAGGCAGGTACTCTTAATGCTTGAGCCACTCCGCCAGCCCAAGAGAGTAATTCAAGAAGCAAGAACGGGACAATAGCATTAAATACTGCTAAGACATCAGGCGTAAGAGAAGATGCCCATTGTATTAACAACTTGGAAGTCATTGACTTCAGAAAACATTATTAAGCTTGAAAGATAGAGGGGTGGTGTGAGGGTAGAGTGAAAAAACAAACTCAGTTTCTGCTATACTCTCAAAGTCAGCACAGAAAACTCCTAGGAACGTGTGTGTGTGTGTGTGTGTGTGTGTGTGTGTGCCCAAACACACTAAGCAAGCAAGCAATTCCATAGCAGACACCAGCTGAGTGTCCTCCAATTTAATCCTGATGCTATCTACCTGGAGATAATGTCAAACCCCACAGGTTGAGGACTTAATCCCAAAACTGGCCCTTCCCTTCTGACACACCATTTGTAAGCTCCTGACCTACTGGTTAGAAACTAGGCTTCCCACAATCTCCTCCTCAGTCAGAGAAACATTTAAGTTCATTGGTTCATTATAAAGAATAAAATTTTATTTATTTGTTTATCATAGTACAAGGGATCAAAATCGGGGCCTTTTGCATGCTAGGCAAGCGCTCTACCTCTGCGCTACATCCCCAGCCCTCTGTTATAAAGAATATTACAAAGGATACCAATGAGTGTCAGATGAAGAGGTGGCTAGGACAGAGTTTGGAAGAAGCTCCCCGCACCCCAGTTTTCATGGGTGTGCCACTCTCTGAAAACCTACTCACATTCAGCCTTTCAGCTGGCTGTCAGTAATTCTTGGGAACCCTTTCCTATTTGGTTATTATGGACACTTCATTACATAGACATGACTGCATTCCTTCCTGAAGCTACCTAAAAGCTGCAGGCCACCAATCACCTTAGCATACAAAAATATAATCTTGAGGTTTTATGCCAGGAAAGAGAGCAAGACCAAATCCACATTTCACAATATGGCAGGTGGAGTCCAGATTAGAGGAAAAAGTGGGAGAAAAGAAACGGAGATGATGAGAATAGACAACTCG